ATTGCTGTCTACAACTACCTGATTGGAAGATACAGAGAAGACTGAGCCAGACTCTCAGAGGTGTACAGAAATAGGACAAGAGTCAGACAAGTTGGAACATAGGAAATTCCAATTAGATGTTCCTACTTCCTTTTTTTTTTCTTTAATCACAAAAGCAGTCAAATACAAAAACAGGCTGCCCAGAGAGGCTATGAGGTCTCTATCCTTGAAGGTGTTCAAAATTTAACTGAACAAGTGTTTGAGTAACATGATCTAAATAGACCTGCTTTGAGCAAGGATTTGGGACTAGACAAACTCCAGAGGTCCCTTCCAACCGAAATTATTATATGCTTTTTTTCCCTGCTTGTCATTTTAAAGAATTAAACGAGCTCACATAAGGTCTGAAGAACACCAGTACAAGCCAGTACAAGAGAGGCAAGGGAAACGGGGAGGGTGGAGCTGCAGCTTCCCCTTTCAGGGCCAATGTGTTATTAAGCTGTCTTGCTCCCTCGCAAAGAATCATAGCCTAACAAGAAGCTCCAGTTAAAATGTTCATGCCCTTCCAGTATCTGAAGCAAAGGTGGATAATGGCGGGAAGTTCTGAAGTTTCCTTGACACTTATTACCTTTCGTCCTGGCAGTATAAGATTGATGTCTTAAGATTTTGCATTAGGAGAATGGTTCTTTTTAAAACCAACTTCTTGCTCAATTTTTATTTTAATCTCTTTAAAGAGAGGTTATTTTTGGAAAGCATAAAGTGAATAAATACTTACAGATTATACCTATAAAACCTAAAAACATGCCCATGTGATTCTTGGAAGCTAGAAGTGAGACTTCCTGCTCCTCACAATTCTCCTGAACTTGACCAAGATATGCTACAAATGCTTTATACCAATACATTTACATAAGATTTTAAAAATACACTTAAAAGATCTCCTAAAATTAACAAGTCTGCCATTGAAATTGCAATCTGGATGTAAACTGAACACATTTTAAATATCTATTAATAATATTCACATTGAGCTAATTTCATCTTCATGAACTCTTAAGTACAGCACTGAGAAAAGGTTCCTCATCTCCTTCATAAACACCTCTATGCACATTGCAAATTAAAGTTAGATGCATTCCAGTAGGTAATGGAGGTTAGAAACAATTACATTTAAAAATACACACCACTTGTGGTCAGGTCAGCCATCAGAATGAACCTAAAAGTGTCTAAATTTAAAAGAACAAGTTAAAGGCATGTTATTTTTAGTTTCAGAAGTTCCAGGCTCAATATCTATAGACAATCCAATCAAGAATACTGTTCATCAGTAAGCACCTCTAAATTACAATGGCACTGGGAAGCACGTATATACATTCAGTTTCAAAACAGAAAAATGGGGCAATTATCCTCTTAGATTTTTTGTCACAGCCTATTTAAGAAGGACTCTAGGGTAAAATTGGTGGTTACAGCTCTTACCAGCTATAGGGTCCATGGCTTCTCTATTGCTTGAAGAATATGAACTCTGAGAAGATGAAAGTCCACCAGTGGAACTGCTAGTAAAGTGCATGTTTGATCTACGTGCACGGGGGCCTCCCAAACCCCGACCTGGGTGGAACATTCTACGTACATGCCGAACACCACTAGATTCATCATAACCAAGCAGTTAAGAAAACAGCAAGAGCATTTACTAGGTGGGGTAATCAGGCAACACAACATTCCTCATTCATAAAGCAATGATTCAACTTTGCAAGTATAATGCAACCATAGCTTTGGTGCCAGTCAGATGTAAAGGTCTGAACCTAAGATATCCAGGGCTTCTTGCACTAAACTCTTTTTTCTCAGGCCTTTTATTATGTCTAAGAAATGTCAGAGTGGATTTCCTGTTTTCCAGATCAAAGTTTTCTAGTAGGCAATTTGAACTGATGACGCATGTTCAGCAGAACATGTTACTCAATAGACATAGGGATTTTAACATTAAAATTAGGGAAGAAGGGGATTTAAGTACTGAAAATAATCAATTTTATTTTAACTCTTATCAAGAGCAAACAGTAATTATTGCATTCCCTTTGACCTTTTTATTTCATACTTTTATCCAAGGAATTTTACCCACTTCAGTCTTCAAGGAATTGTAGTTCAAGAGGATTCATCACTATCATACCCCTTTGCTTCATCTTCCCTCTCTTTCTCTGCACAAATTTCATTGACTCTAATTATGAAAACAATCCCTTTCACTTTCTTGTTTCCTCCATTTCCTAGGAGATGCTTATATTCCAAGACATAGCTTTTATAGACTTTTTCCATACACACTAAAGAGACTATCAACAAATCATTTGAAAATGATCTTTCCCAGAAGTGTTAACATATGTTCTCCCATGACAGTCTAGATGAAGCTTCCTTTTACCTTAAGGAACACTACTGTAATTAATTACTATACTAGGAAATGACATATTTTATTTTCCCATTTCTACATTAGTAGAAAGCTCAAAGTAGAAAGTAGTGAGAAAGCTCACTACATTAGTAGTAGCAGCTCACCTATTCTTCGATTTTACTCTTTTTTAAAAATAGCATACTTATCACTTGAATAATATCTATTATTTGTAGCAGACTCATGCCTAATGCACTTTTCACACAACATACAATTATGGCATAGAATTGATTGCCTTGGGATATCACTAAGGTCAAAAACTTGAGACGGAAAAATTATTCTCTTAGCAAGTAAGAACATCCAGTTGTTATAGTAAATACTTTTAAGGATGTTTGACTCTTTAAAAACACCTGACTTCCAGGGTTGGGGGGGGGAACTCTCCTGGACCAGATTATATTTGCCTAGCACAGATTTGTTTGTTCATCCTTTGAGTCTGCTGATACTGGATACTGCTAGTGACAAAACATTGTGCTAGAGAGATTACAGTTGAAAATTTGTTTAAAGAAGAAACTGTTCAGAATCTGTAGGGGTAAAGGAGATGCGTTTTAGGTGCTGCACAGAATTAATCACAAGGAATATCTGCAGCCATTTGTGACAGCTAAAAGAAGAAACAAACTCTAATCTCTATAAAAAAGACAAGGCAGGAAGTTAAACCGTTCATAGCTCTAAGCGGTCAATCAAAACCCATCTCAGAAACTGCTTAACACAATTCCCTATGCTAGAAAATATACAGGCAAACAGTCTTCTTTCTCTCTATCCTGGGCAATTAGAGGGCAATTAGAGCAGGGGGATTTATTCTGCATATTTATGAACTGAAATTTATGCAAAGACACATGTATAAAAGCAATAGTATGGTATCAGAGCATAACTTTTTAACAGCTCCCTGACTTTGACACATATCCTTTCCTTTCTTTTTTTTCTTCCTTTTAGTCTTAGCTGTTGGGAGACGTAAAATAGCACCCAACATGGACGAGGTAGTCCAGAAAACTTTTTCCCATCAAGTTTTGTGGACTTTACAACACTGATTGCTAGAGCAATACTGTACAAAACCTTCCACATGCATTTTCGATAATTTTAAATCATTTACAACATCGAACTCCCCTAAAAAATCAATTTCATGGTGGGTGACTGACATTGTAGCCTTAACTCGGTAACTGAAAAGATTATTCTGATTTTTTTTTATAGCTCCTATGTAGCTAGCAAGAAACAAACATTTCCCAATTAAAAGTTATCTGACAATGTCACTGATATGAGAGGAGGATTAAAAGCTCCAGAACTGTGAATTTTAATCAAACAACTTCCTATTCAAGTGGATGAGGTATTTTCACTGTGTAATTAGGAATGACATTTCAAATGCTAAAAAAAACGTGCAAATACAGATCACAGTGAAACCATTTCCTCAAATATTGCTAGCAGTAGACATAATGAACTTGAGTTGTTGAAGGCTTTATTTTTTTCCTTTAAGAAGCACTGAACAAAAAGCATTATCAAAGTAGGAGTGTATTTCTTTAAATGATATAGAAAGATAAATAATTCATAGAAATTACTTAATTTCAGAAGTTACTCTAATTACTTTATGAAGTGCAGACCATCATGAAAAACTCTCAATATGTTTTTGCATGGCGCAAAAAAAAATCCTAAGATATTTGATGCTAAAGAAAATTATACTTAAAGCAGAAAGAAACTGTCAGTTTCAGCTCTTCAACCACTAAGACGAGCTAAATTATACAATCTCCAGATAAAGTTAATTGAAAGACAGCCCTAATTCCTAGGATATCTCCTGATAGTTCTTCTAGTTATATCTAAAAAAATTCAATAAAAAAAGGATAAAACTACCCTATTGAAATATGATGATAAAACTAATCAAACAAGAAATTTAAAATCAGTCAATCTTGACAAAGTTCAAAGCATTAAAAGGTTTTGCTAAACAAAAAAAAAAAGCACACAGAAAACACAACCACACACCCAAATGTAACCACTTTACAAAAATCAAAACAAATATTTACAGCTATTATAAGGAACAGTCTAACTCTTTCCTCAACTCAAGAAAGGATATTAAATCTCTGGGAGCTCTGTGTTCCAGTGTAAGATGAGCTGCAAAATCATCTGTGACATGATTAGGATCTCCTCCAGGTAATGCTGCACATATTGGACAAATCTGAAACAAAGTGAGAGAGGAAGGGGGGGGGAAAAACACAACTAACTTTTCACAAATCACAGAACACACATCGAGTTGATCATTTAATGTGGATTTTTATACTTTAAAGATCACATTCCAATACTGTATCTAGACAGCCACAGGTTTAAAGCAGTAAATGCGTTCAAAATGCAGCCATTAATTATAGCATATTTTTAATGTAGCATCATTTTAGCACCTTTTCCTTATAATAATGTTTTTAATAATACCACTGAAATCAAAAAGCAAAGTTTTCAAATCCAATTATTTGCAGCGTTTTAAAACTTTGTATGTCAATTCAGACAATGGGTCTGGTGACATAGGATTACTAATTGCTTGCATATACCTTCACATGACATTACCATAGTCATTTACTGCTCTTTGAATCCCCAAATAACTTTTCATTCACCCCATCAGAAAAATATGGGAAGGAGATTGAAACCAGATATGAATATTCATTCAAGCATCACTATGAAGACAACCCATTGAATTAGCACACAAGCAGAGTTTTGGGAGAGGAGAGAAACTACTTATTCACACCAAATAAATATTTTGGGAGGACCTAAAGACACACTAAAGCCTAAAGACACACTTTAAAAGTGTTAAGGGACCATTAGTGCTATTACGTTTATCACCACCCCCACATCGTATGCATAATTTTGCAGGTCAGGCTTAAAGTTTGATGGATCACTTTTTAAAAGAATTCAAAAAGGAAACAAACCCTTTCCACAGAACGTGCATTAGGTAAGGAGATCTTAGCTATACTTCTACCCATCGCACATCCAACACTTTCTATGAATTCTTCACTGCTCCTCAGACCCAAAAGGATAGCACTACTTCTGGTCCTGTCACCCATTTTCACAGCCAGTCAATATTGCAATGCTTTTGACAAACATTTTTTGCCATTTCAACTCCCCCAGGAGCAAGCCCTGGCTGTGATGGAGAGCCCAGGTTCTTAAATTATGCTCTTCACACATTTAAGTTATTGGCTATAGTTTTCAAAAGACTGTGGGCATAAGGACATTTAACTGAAAGCACACACACCCTTCTGACCCCTTTTTGGACTGAGAAGAATGTCTTAAATATATTTATAACAAGATCTAATCTCTCTTTGAAAAGGGTGACCAAATGTTTCATGTCAGCTTAATTTTAGAAAGCAGCACTGATCATAAAATAACAAAGGCATTAAAAGATTTATTACATTTCCTTTCGCCTTTAGCTCAAAGTTTTTCATGCTCAGGATTTCACTTCACTAGATTCTATTTTTCAAATCTCCCATCACTACAGAAGCAATACAAGTGGACACACAGTAGAATAGACATTTTATTATAACATCTAAGGGAAAACAAAACTACCAGTTATGCATTGGATATATCACAAAGAATTAGTGAAGAGCTTTATATAGACAGAACACAATTTAAGGTAGACCAGAATTTCTAATGAGGTCTGCTCTCCCTCAAAAAAAAAAGCACAACCCACATAATGCCCCCCCCCAAATATAACTCAAAAGAACCCACGACAACAACAACAACAAAAAAAAATCACCTTTTTGATACATAAGCAGAACCAACCCTACAAGTAATCTGTAAAAACAAAAATGTAATCACAACTGTGATATAGGTACCTGTTAAATGCATGCAATTTCACAGTAAAATCAAAAGTGACAAAAGATCAAACACTGCATGAGGAACATGGATTCTAAAATCATTATTTTTAAATGTTAATTTTTTATTATGAAAACTTCACTTTTGAATACTGTTTTTGGGCAACCTATCACAGAATCATAAAACTATTATGGTTGGAAAAGACCTTCAAGATCATCAAGTCCAACCATAAACCCATCAGCACCCTGCCTCCTAAACCATGTCCCTCATCTACACGTTTCTTGAACACTGCCAGGGACGGTGACTCCACCACTTCCCTGGGCAGCCTGTTCCAATGCTTCACCACTCTTTC